TCCCGTTTTCCCTCTATCTTCTACGAGCATAAAAGTCCGCGGGAACTGCCAGGCGCAGTTACAATCCTTGGACTCGAAAGCTGAGGCCGGCCACTGTGAGTTTGTGTGTGTGTGTGTGTGTGTGTGTGTGTGTGTGTGTGTGTGTGTGTGTGTGTGTGTGTGTGTGTGTGCTCGCGCGTGCGCGCGTGTTCATTCTTACATAACACAATGATCAAATATCGTCAATTCGCAAGCATGTTGATAAGCATGCTCAGTCTTCCTCGATTACGTACTAAATTGATTATCGACTAATTTCGAAATAGAATAATAAATATCATTTTGATCATTTCGAGTGCAATTGTTCAACAAAGTTTTTTTTCTACTTTGTATTAATCGACAGATCATCTACGCATTATTTCTAAACACATATATCATATATATGTCGTATCATTTAGATTGTCCGCTAGAGAGACCACTTTTTGTATTGTATCCGAGGCCGAGTTGTCACTTTGATCCTTCGATATAGGCTTCCTCGAAATATAAAAATCTTCGTCCTCGCATGTAATTGCGTTCGCAGAACTCGCTTGCACGTTTTCGTCATTTGTAAATTGTACTTCGAGGATTGCCGTTGTTGTAACCTTATTCGTGACTGTATGATCATGATTAGATTGCGGTTGCTCGTCTTTTGATCTCTTCATGATCTCAGCGAATTGTCGCGTAAAACGATCTTTTAGAGTACCGCTGAATAAAGGTTCTAGATTCCTCTTAGGCGTTTCCGGTGGCTCGTTCTGTGATCTTGTTGTTGACTTCATCTTCGGTTTCATTCTTACAGCATAGATCATCTTGCGATAGGCCTTAGCGTCGTCCTTGTACCTAGTCATCTCCGATAGAATGATCGACAATCGATCCGCTTGATCGAGATAAACCTCTTTCTGCTGATAAGCCCGATACCTATGACAGCACTCGGCCATTTTAACGAAGTGTCTGACAAAGAAGTCCAACAGAGCGGCCAGCCTTAGACCTTCCAATTTGGCATACCGTTCCTGGAAAAGAAAAAGAAAAAATGAAACAGGGAATGTGAGCCATGATTCTTGATCCGCTAATCGCGAGAGAACAAAGATAAGATTAGATTCGCGGGAAGTTGTGTAGCATCACGAATTGACTTCGCGCTTTTTGTCTGCCACAATCAGTTACGATAGTGATTTGTCGTGCTGGATTGCTCATTACGATCGATCGATTAATCTTATCGCTTAAGGAACTTACCGAGATTTCGACGATAGAGTCTGTGGCCTTGCGCGGAGTAATCAGCGTTTTGCCCGCGGTCATTGATGTGCTGTAATTTTGCCGATTCTTCTTTCGCGTTCTATCCCAGAATCCACCGGATCTGTTGTAAATTTCTTCCCTATAGGATTCATCGGTCTTTAGTGGCGACATGTATATATCTAGAGCCGGATTCATCACGGCCAGCCCTGATTTCACCGTTAGTATATTAAATAGCTTCGTGAAATTCAATCGTGGAAAGAACTTGTTACTATGCTTGATATTCTCCATTGCATGAAACACGTACATGATAGGATTTTCGATTATTCTTTTCAGTTGCTTCTGACTGTGTAACAGGTAATCGGTGGGCACTTTGCTAAATACATTCTTATCGCGAATGAAATAATCCGGTAGAGTCGGTTCGTTCTGACTGATACAACGATAGAGGCTCTTCAACAACTTGATTAGGCACTCGCCAGTTCGATTATCAGGCCACTTCGAGGGCCGATCGTCCTCTTCGATCAACCAAAATAGCTTATTTCTAATATGAGAGGTTGTCAGGCCATACATAGTGTCCAGGACTGGCCTTAAGAAAGTTTTGTGGAGCACCAGTGCGATTAAGTATACTTGCACTTGCGAACGTGTCATGCAAGTCTCCAAATATCGTTCTGCAGCTGGAAATGCCAGCTGCCATTCAATCTCTTGATAAATGTTTTTTTTGGCGCTTTGATACCGAGACAACTCTTTTGGCAGATGGCTTCTTCTTTTTGGTAAAGAGTCTTCAGGAATCACGTAGCAACCAAAGTCTTTCACTTTGTTGACGTCATTGTAATCAGGCCAAGTGTTTCTCGGCCTATCTAGCCACTCCTGTGCGTACTCCGGCCACTGTAGCCATATCGTTGGCGAGATTTCAAAGGATTCTATCCTGCGAAGTCTAGGACTGTGCGATTCGATCATCTTGTCACAATAGATGACCGACTCCTCCACGTGATTCAGATCTTCTGGATTGAATCCCAGCGGTTCTGCCAGTTGGTCCACGAAAAGATCAACGAAATAACTCATGAATATTTCGCTACTAGTATATAGGACATCACGGTCGTATTGTCTGTCGGCCATCAAGAGGCGAAACTGCTTGGTATTTTGCGGTTTTCTCTCTCTTCGAAATGTGTATATCTTGCCCTCTCTGTTGATTCTCACCTTCTTGAAACATTGCGTCGGAATCATCGCATTTGAATAAATCTTCGTCGATGTATCCTCAACGGTCTCATTATGATTTAATGGACAAGCGGTCTGCATATTGGACTTTGGCGTAGTTTGGTAGCTCCAGTCGCTATCACTGTCGCAAGCTCCAGATCGGTAGCCGGAACTCGAACTGCTCGCTGGTCTACGGACTTTTTGTCTCGTTGATTTCACTGCGCTAAATCGAGAATAATGTTGGTAACTTCCCTTTCTGCTTTCCGATTCACTCTGCGACCATGTTTTCTTGCTATGATTACTTCGGTCTTCCATCGAAGACATATGCTCGCAGTCAGACTCGATCTTAATATCATGATTGGATCGGGTTTCATACATACTTTTGTGGGAGAGGGAAATTTGGTCTTCGTATATTGTCTCGTTGTCATGTAAATTGGGCAAAGATCTGACATTATAAATTGTGGAGTTTTGGACAGGTCGCCTTTTGGATTGATGCGAAAGCATCATATTTGAATTACGACCGTAAACGCTTTCGCCATCACCGTCATATATCTCATCGTCATCTGCCGTTGATGAAGGATCGACGGCTCTTCCGTTTTCTTCCTTGATGGAATTGCTCACATAAGGCATTTCATCGAGACGTCGCAACCGCACATATCCTGTTGATATATCGTATAATATTTGATATTAAAAATATTGAAATTTATTTAAGATTTGATATTGAGAAATCTTGTCTTAACGTCATTCAATATGCTAAGCTTTCTTTTTAATCAATGAAAATTTAATTCTATGAATTTTGTAAAACCTTTAATATCATAGATTAGATTTTTAAACAAGCTCTGTACAAAAATTATTCGATCAATTACATTCTTATTAAGGACAAATCTAATTCAAACTGAACCAAGAACACTATAGAAAGAAGTAAAGACAACTAGAGATACTTTATAAGCTGGAACAAGTTTACTTACCAGGATGTTCACTTGGTTGCACCATCATATTATACGTAATCCCATTATTCAGGCTACTGTATTCTGATGAATAATGTTGCTCCGTAATTTCAATATTGTCATGCACAACATAAATGCGGACGGGTTGCAGTGGTTCGATAATAAGATCATCGGTTTGTCTCTTTGAAGTGAAAGCGATGTTATGTGAGATATGCTCCTGAAGAACGTCAGGCAATAGAACGTGTTTTTGAGATGGTAACGCCTTATTTAATTCACTTTCGTAGGAGGATACTAGAGTCTCTTTGATTTGAGTTATATCTCTGTAAAAGTATTTGATAATTAATTTTCTCAATATGTTATTGTTGTTATCAGTATATCTAATTGTATTTTTATGTAATATATATGTTTTACTAAAATATTTTCTGGATATTCATTACTACAATTAATTAATCAGAATATATCCAAAAATTAATATTTAAGAATTATCAACATTAAGATATAAGAGGAATAGTAAAATTGTAACATATAATAAACTGATCTTATAGATGATTTATCCAAATTAATTCTTTATCATTTAATGTATAATACCAATTATAATGTAATATAAACTATAATGCTAAGTAAACATTTTTTTAAATATATTGTATTATATTATTATTGTATACTTAGTGTTACACGTTGAGCAAAGAATAAATTAATTTGAATAAATTATGAATAAATTTGAATAAATTATGAATAAATTAATTTGAATAAATTATGAATAAATTTGAATAAATTATGCACATATATATATATATATATAAGATTATTAGTTTTTATTATGTAATAATTTTATAGTTTTTTTCATATCGTAATAAATAGTAAATTAATGATTCTTAAATATTTATTTTTATTTTTATATATTGATGTTTTAAATAATTGTAATAATGAAAAATGATTCTTTGCTTTGCGAAATGCACGGGATTGTTATGCACAGTGTCGAAAAGTGATTAATAATATTTTATATTAAAAAACAAAAATAAATATAAAGAATTTGTACACTTCCTCCAACTTTTCTTGATATCACGACGAGGAATATTTTTTATATGTTGTAAAGATTTGCAGATTAGATTAAGTCGAGATGAATATCGATATTTTTCAAATTAATGTGTGATTAAACGAAATAATTCCTTGATTTTTAACAAATTTCTGTGACACGATATGGATGATATGTGTGCGTATGATATAGTCATCTTCTATAAATAAATCGACACTAACTTTACTTTTTTTTTCTTCTTTTTCTTTATTAATGACAATTTGGATACACAACTATTTATTTAATGATACTAGACTTTTACAATCCTAGATTTATAATCAAGATTATTTGTTATTATTTGAATATACTGATAGCATATATGAGTACCATATATTTCAAACTCTCTTTAAATTCTCGATCGCGATTGTGCCGTGAACTGTTATTATTCCGCAACTCCAATAAATCACCATAAAAAAACATTAGACCGAGAACGCTTACTCCTCATAATTCTCGAAGAACTGGATACACATCATGAGATTATTTAAGATGAAACTGTCAGGATCATTCACGATGGCTCTTCTCAATAGCATCAATTCCACGTCCTCATATTCATCCACCTGCTTGCTGGCTTCCCTCGTTTTGAATCTATTATTATCCTTCGTTCCCAGATCAATCCTGCTTTTTGACTTCACGATTCCCATTGTCTCTTTTCGCCTAATGACATAACAATAAGTGCGTGCACACATACACACCTACACATACACGCAAGAGACGGCCACGTGGAATGTCCCCACGTGCGGCGCGCGTCTTCAGAATCGCGATACACTGCAGGCCACTTCGGGATTCGTTATGGGTCACATTACTTCACTCTAATTTCAAGGTCAACAAAAGCGGGGACGCAGCATTGTGCGTGCGCGCGTGAGGACACGTTGATGACCGGTACGACAGTAGTTCTCTCGCGGGGTATCGATGTCGATAAATAGCTATCTCGTTATCGAGTACAAGCGCTTTTAATCGGCCGCTTATTATTGGGCATGGACAAACAAGATGTACTTATGAAAGATCGCGCTGGCATCGGATATGATAAAGCTCCGGTATTCTATCAAGTTCACCAGTTTCCAATATCGTGGGTGGATCATATATAATTATAATAGCATATTATATCAGCCAGAAAAAGAGTAGTATATTCAAACCAATCTTTTTGGGATCAATCGTGTATTTTGAAACACGAAAGATAAAAATTACAAAAATGAGAAAATTTAGTGGATTTCAACATATAAAGTCGCAGATACTTTAAAAATTTCTTTATTTTCTAAAATTTCAAATTTGTTCCGAGATACACAATCCATCCTCTTTCTTAAATCTTGTTACTTCCTTAAATCTGGGTATTATATCTATTAATGCCTGATTAAACAAATAACTAAACAATAACACCGTATTTTATATTCATGTTAACAATATCTATTATCCTTTTAATAGCGCGTATATCCTATATAAATAAAAAATGTTCTATTTTAGATTTTTAATTAATAACTTGTATAACCAATAATTGTGATAGATATTATAATGCAAAAGAAATAAGAAGATTGGTACAAAAATATGTACCTGTCTTGTACCTGCTCAAGTAGCAGATTACGGTAATTACAACTAAAAAATTGATGTAATGATTAAATTATAGTATCGTTGGAGATTATTTGATAATCTATTTGATAATCTTTTTCCTATATAATCAGCTGTATTATTATCCAATATAAGCGCATGAGTTTGCAGAGACTATTATAACAATAGCTACTCTCATTGAATAAGAAAGATTTCTTATTAACATCATAAAGTTACTTCTAAAGTAATCACGAATTATCGTACGTAGACCCGCAATGTTGTCTTTCGAAATGCAATCGAATTTCGTGGTATTGCCTCATATAGAATTATAGTAATGCATTTAATTCGTCTGCTGACGTCATGTACAGCAATATCGTGAAATTGCTGCTGTTATATCTAATCTGTCCCCAAAATCCCTATCGGAATAATTCTCAAACAAATTGCATTAATTCCGTAATATTGTGATGCACGGCTAGAAATTAGTATTTCTTAATGTACTTTCGATTCCGGGCAGCAAGTTTATTCTTTTAAAGGATGAAAAGAGACATCGATCGCATTGATTCAAGGTCTCGTTCAGAATATTCTGATAAACCAAATACCTGTAATCTCTTTCGATCGATCGATATCTATTTTGACGGTTACGGTGCACATTGGTGTGGAACCTGGTAAAATCTAAAATTTTTTTAAAAGTGTTTCTGCAACATATAAACATTTATTAATAGTTAAATAATAAGAAATATCACAATGAAAAAAATTTGGAAAACAGTGTTTTATATTTATAAATTAAAAATTACAGCACGCTAAAAACTCCATACAGTTATATTTTACATCTATAAGTTTTACGTATAAAATAGTCAAATTATTATTTTTTTTAGACAATTTCTATTTTAATATATAAATAGAAAGTTGCGTGCGTGCGTGCGTGCGTGCGTGCGTGCGTGCGTGCGTGCTTATATATACGTCTCAAATAAAAACTAATGCAAAATTTGTACATGTAGTTTGAGAATACACAATGTTATTTTTTGTTTTACGTATAATCTTCAATCGTATTATAAATCGTGTGACACTGTTGCGATGTCAAATCTCGTAACGTTAATCGGTTAAATATGCAAACAAGATTTTAGTAGTAAGTAGCGATTATCAAGATGATAACGTTCATCGGAATGTTATATATCTATTAAACATTTCAAGAATCAGTATTATATATATCAGTATTTATATATATTGATATATATTCTTTTCTTTCAACAACTTTTCTTTGAACAAAATGCAATTTAAAAAGACAATGTAGGTAATATTGAATATTTTAAGATTTAATATATATAAAATGAATATGCAACATGTCTATATAATAAATTTAGTAAATATAAAATATAAATTTTCTATTAATAATTCTATTAATAATATAAATATATAAGTTTTATAAATATAAATTATTATATATACATTTGTTTAACGAAGACATTTTGGAAATGTAATAAAAGTATGTAATGCACAAGTAAAGTATCAATTTTGTATCAATTTTGATTATACCAATCTTTTTGAAATATTTTTCTGTAAATGTTAATTAATTATTAAATTTTAACTAATTATAAATTTTTTATTACTCTTTATTAATTTTATTTGCATTGTATACAAATGCAATGAAATTTTATCGAGAATAATATGCGTTTTTTTAGAAAGATTAGAAGATTTTTATATTTTAAGATTAGAAGATTTTTATATTTTAAGATTAGAAGATTTTTATATTTTAAGTATTAATAAATATAGATAATTGTAGAAACTTTGTCATTATATATCTTGTAATTTCTATAATGCAGGTCGAACCTGTGCAATGGACTTTCGAAAACATCGCTGTGAACGAGGATTCTAGTCCAAGCCAACTTCGGCATCTCGCCGATTTTTTGTCAAAAAAGCAATTTGATCTCGTAATCAATTTACCAATGAGAAATGGTGGTGCTCGACGTGTTTCTAATTTTATGACGCACGGTTATCGAACAAGAAGACTTGCGATAGATTATTCCGTACCTTTGATTACGGATGTTAAATGCGCGAAACTTTTGGTCGAAGTAAGTATCCAAATTTTCGAGTCTGTAAAAGTACTGAATAAAAGATATGATGTGTAAAATAAATTTTATTGCAAAAAAATTTGATTAAATCATATGATTAAAATAAGCTTACGTGACATTAATTTCTCATTTGAAACTACATTTTTATATCACTCTCACGTCAGTGATCAAAGATCGTTTTGATAAATAAGATTATATTACTCACTCATAACATTTCACATTGTTGATAAGGTATATAGGTGCAAAGTTTACTTCAGGACCTACATATTTTAAGATTATGTTGAAAATCTTAATTTTTAAAATCAAAATATATATTTACTATGTGATAAAACAAAATTCATAACTCGATTAAAGTTCATTAAAAATATATATACATATTTTGTATTTTTGTATTATAATTTTTTTGTGTCAATATTAAAATATTAAAATAGTAAATATTAAAATTTTTAATTCATTTTCATAAATAATCTTTTATCAAAGCAACGATTATATATCGTTTTGATTACTTAAAAGTAAAATCATGATTACGCTATACATGCAACTTTGCATCAATTATATGTAATCGACCTATATAATCGTGAGTGATAATTGAATGGAATAATAAGAAATGAATAAATAAATAATAACTAATTAATAATAATAATAATAAATAATAACTAATTTGTTTATCTGAAAATTATAAGAAGTTGAATCAAGAGCAATATATATATATACATATACATATGTGCGCTAATTTAATATTATATTTTTCATGCACACAAAAATTTTATAAATTTTTAAATTTTAAATTATACTTTTGCACTTTTGTATTTTAAATCTTCTTTTTTTTTATTTTAGTTTTGATAATAAGAATTTTTCTTAATATTGAAAATCAAATTCACACACGCATATACGAATACGCACACACAATTCAATTCAATTTTAATCTTTATATTAATAGATAAAAACTTAATTTAAAAAATGTTGTAAATATTTGAAAAATATGATATCGCACAAACATTCATATTCATAAGCTCTCGAACGATGGATTTTTGTAAGTAATTGGTGTACTTTGTGTACTCTTCTGCTCTTTGCATAGGCATTGAGAATGGTCGGCGGTAAAGCACCACGAATGAAAACGCATACTGATTGCGTGTCATCACGCAAGATGATCAGGCTGCCTGGTCTTATCGACGTGCATGTGCATACTCGCGATCCTGGAGCGACTTACAAGGAGGACTTTGCTTCTTGCACAGCAGCAGCACTCGCCGGAGGCATTACTACTATTTTCGCGATGCCCAATACCAATCCTGCAATAGTAGATCGTCAGACTTTTGCGATTGCTAAGGAGGTAAGATTTCATAAAATCCTCATATTAGAATTTTAAAATTTATTGACTTTGTCATTTGTTCATTTTTTATTTTTATTTCTTATCTGTTGGCTAATTAAATTTGAACTATAATTAAGAAAAATTTTAAATAATTTGTTATAACGAAATATTTTTTATTATCTACACTTTTTGCTGCATTGTTTAATTTAATTATTTTACTAGACACTAGATAAAGTAATTATTTTTTGCTAATTCTTAAACTAAAATTTGTAAATGTTTACATTACATAAATAAAAATATAAAATAATAAAAATAATAAAATTGACGCGACGCGCACGCACGCACGCACGCACGCACGCACGCACGCACGCACGCACGCACGCACGCACGCACGACTACACTTTATATATGCATATAATAATAAATATGACATTTGTGTTCTTGATATAAATATATGCAAAATTTATTATTATCTTTCTGATTATTTTCCGAATTATTCGTTATTCGAAAAAAATGTTTGAAACAAAAATTGTAAGGAGCGGGCTATATGACTATGATATTAATTCATTTGTAGATCCACTATCCACTATCGATATATTTTGCAATCGCTATTTTTTATAATATTATATATATTTAAATATTATTTATATATTTTTTGTACCTAATTCCTCTAGTTATTTCAAATATAAGCACATAAAATATTAAAAAGTTTTTAAAAGTCAATGCGATATTTTATATTTTATATTCTGGTCTGTTTTTGACAATAAGAAAATATAAAATATCTTAAAAACTCATTTTCAACTCATCTTTTGATAACTGTGACGTAAAAATCTTGTGTAAAATAATGAGATAAATCGATTGGTGTAGAAAAAGCTTATAATTGTTTTTAAAAAAATGTATGTACTTACATTTAGAAGAGTTATATTATGTATGATTCCATTTAAAAAATAGCGACTATAAAAAAATCTGAACGATAACTTTATTTGCGAATAAGTCAATATTATAATTATGTATTCCGCTCGAAATCCTATAATTTTAATCTAAAATATTTTTTCGAGTAATAAATAATCTTCTGAAGATCGCATGGAAATATTATAATGGATCATCCTGTGTGTGTATACATACATATACATATAGATTTTTAGTATTGATAATGTATATCGGAACACGGTTTGCATAATAATAAAAAGTCAATTTCTTGAAACATCAAAAAATTTCAAAGTTTTTATATTTATAAATATCGATGTTAAAACAAAGTTTTAAAGTTTTAAAAAATTTAATGCCGAATATTAGCTTTTGGTATCAAAAATAAAATCTTTTCTCAATGCTTTTAAAATATGCAAAAATTTTGATAATAAATTAGTGCAACTTTGTTTTGTTTTAATTTCATATAAACTAGCCAAATTTTTCGATTAAGGCTCCTGAGTAGTCACCGCGGGTATATTGGAACGTGACATCATAGGCGAGAAATGCCACAATAAAGTTTATGATGGTAGTTTTACAAATAAAGAGATATTTGATTAAAATAATACCTGATATGGTTTTAAGACACTTGGTGAAAATATGGGTGGCTGCTATCCTTTCCCTTCCTGATAGTCAATAAACAGCTATAAAAGGCACGTGAAATGAAGCCTATTCAGACAGAAAACACACGATTTGAAAGCACACAGTTTTTGAAAGATGTAGAAAAAATGCTTTCACATATAATGTCCAACGATAATTTTAGCTGCCGCCCATTTTTACAAATCTGGTAAGCACGAAACAAGTCATATCTGCACGATTAAGCATACAATAACGAAAATAATCGTTATAAACAATTTCGTTGTCCGCATATCACTTGTATAAAGATGAACAAAGATAAGGATAAGAACAAGGATATATGAACTTCTATTTTTCATCGCGACGATACGTCATTGCTACCATCAACACGAAGTTCTTCATTGAGTACTCAGGACCCTTAATCATAAATAAAAATCCGATGCCCTTATCTCTCTATTAAACCAATTGTTGCTTTTGTATGTTGAATATTTGACTTGTTCTTATTGCGAGCAAATTTATAATACGATTAGTAAATTGTTTTAAATAAAATATTTGCTGTCATTATTCGCGAATAATATTTAAGGAATCTAAGGAGACAATAATGGAATATAAAATTGATTTAAAAGTGCAATTCCAAGTCTTCTACATATATCTAAATGATAATAAAAAATCAAGTATCGCATAAGTACAAAAACTGATTGTTGCAGCTAGCGCGCCAAGCTTTAACATCGTGATATCGTATGATAACAATAGCTTAAAAAATATCATTTTATTTTATCACTGTGAGTTTCAAATTTTTTTTAGGTTTAAAAAGCCATGCACATATATACATCGCATTTCTTATCAACGCATTTATAATGTAGATTTCTTACATAAATATTTTAAAATCAACAGTTGATTTTGAATATTTTATTTGTATTTTTAGTTTATTATTGATAAGATTATAATTAAATTAAATTTGAATCCTGTTTAAACATAGTCTTAAATAATTTATTATAATGAAATAAAGAAAGTTTATTTATTGTCTAC